CAAACCAGCACGTCTTTCTCCCATGTCTCAACTGAAACGCTTCTGTTTTCTCCATGCAAAACGGACATGCAAGTCTTCCATGTGTGCTCCATCCCGATAGCATGCCATACGCCGGAAAATCACTGATCGTCCAAAGAAGAACCTCTCTCAGTGTAAAATTTTGTTTCACACTTACGTCGTAAGCAGGGACTCCAATGTCCCACAAATCCTTCAACTCCTTAATGAGCGGCTGTAAATACACATCTAAACTCTTCTTCGGATGTTCTGGCCCAGGAATCAACAATGTCAAAAACATAAATTCTCTTTTCATGCACATCTCAGGTGGTAAGTTGTACGGAGAAAGTATAACTGGCCATAATGAATACTGCATGCCAGACTGTTCGTACGGACTAAATCCATCAGTACACAAACATAGATACACATTCCTAGGCTCAGCAGCGAATTGAGGAAATACCATGTTGAAGTTTTTCCACGCCAAAGCATCAGATGGATGTTGCATTTCTCCATCAACGGTAGAATGCGAGGCATGCCATCTCATATGCGAAGCCGTTTGTTGTGATTCATACAAACGCTTCAATCAGTACGATACCGGCATATAGAACATCTTTTTATACGGAGTTTGTCTCCGTACATTCTTACTCGGACGGTATCTGTTAGTCCCACAGAATTTACACCTAACCAATTCTTTTTCTTCACCCCAATACAGCATGCAACCATTTTTGCAAACATCAATCTTTTCATAAGACATTCCCAAATTCTTCAACATAGCCTTCGTATCGTAATACGATTCTGGAGCTTCATTATTTTCAGGTAAATATTCACGCAACGTTTGACAAAATGAATCCATGCAACTTTCGGTGACATTGTAATCCGTTTTCATACTCATCAATCTTGATGCAAGAGATAAACGTGACTGACCTTCTTTACATCCTTCATAGATAGGATGATTTGCCATATCCAACATGTCGAAAAACCGTTTTGTTTCGACGTTTGGCTCCTCCTGATCTTGTGATGAGTTTTGCTCAGCCAATGCCCCAGGAAAAGCATCTGTCACCATTTCAACATAAGGATTTCTTACATCTTCATCTACATCATACCTCTGCTCGGCCGAGACATGTTGTCCCGTTGTGATTGTCCGAACTTCTTCTCCATGAAATCGCCAAATATAATAATCTTCGACAAATCCCCTTCGAAATAGATGTTTACAAACATCTTCTGGACTGCGATATTTAAAATTGCGACAACTTGTACATGGACATAGCATTTTTCCACGTTCTTGACACAACGGCTGCATAGAAGCAAAATTCATAAACTATTCTAAACCGTTAATGAATTCTTGCGTTATCTCTTTTGTAATCGAATCAACTCTTTCGTATATCCACTGCCGGGACGAACGAATATTCAGATTTGTTGAAGATGTCATTTTTTGGAGAATTTTTGGTAAAAGAATAGTATAAGAGTGATTTAGAGAGTGGTTTGGGCGAACTATTTAAATAGAGAAACGTTCCAACGGATATCCGTTGGAAATCCGTTGAAAAGTTCGTTACCGTTACACTTTCCAACGGGTATCCGTTGGAATTTTTCGAACGTTATAACGTTCGACTATTTCCAACGGATATCTGTTGGAAGTATTGCCGCGTTTCATAACGTTCGGATAATTTCAACGGATTGCCGTTGAAATACGTCGAACGTTATTCCCAACGGAAATCCGTTGGAATATACGTGGAAATTTTCCAACTCAAATATCTGTTGATATGCCGTTGGAAATCCGTTAGAAATGCGTTGGAATTATTCCAACGGTATTCCGTTGGAAATCCGTTGGAATTATTCCAACGGATTGATCCGTTGGAAAAATCCGTTGGAATTTCGCATTTTTTGTAGTGGTGTATGTATGTGAATGTGAATGTGTATATATATATAAATGTGTATGTGTGTTTATGTGATGTATATGTGAATATATATATATATATGTGTATGTGTATGTGTATATGTGTGAATATGTATGAATGTGTGTTTATGTATGTGTGCAATGTATATGTTTATGTGTATATATATGTATGTGTATGTAAATTTATATGTGTATGAATGTGTGTTTATGTGTGTGTTTATGTGTATGTGTATATATATGTATGTATGTGTATGTAGATTTATATGTGTATATATATGTATGAATGTGTGTTTATGTATGTGTGTGTATATGTATATATGTGTGTATATAAATGTATATGTGTATGAATATATGTGTATGTATATATATGTATATAAATTTATGTGTATATATATAATGTATGCGTATATGTGTAATATATATGTATGTGAATATATATATATACGTGTGTATATGTATATTATATTTTTTTTAAAATTTAAAAAAATATTTGCGACGGATTTTTCTGTCGCAAATCGCAGATTTTGTCCATCGTAAACTTGCGACGGATTAACGACCGACAAACTTTTGTGACAACGATATACGGACGAAAATTATTTCGTCGCTTTCTGTCGCAAATTTGTAATTGCGACGGATTTTTCCGTCGCAAATTCGGATGTTTTTTGTAGTGATTGATTACCTTCTGGTTTATTTGTTAACCATTGAAGTTATGTAAATCACATTTTGATTCAGTAATACAAAACACATTCGTATAAAAAAAAACTCGTGCGAAAAACCCTATTGGTCTCGGCATACCTCTGATGATTACTCTGATCATGAATCATCAACATCGTAGAATCTATCAAAGATTTCTCGGTGTTTTTCATCTGATGGGTTTCTCTACGATAGTGGCAGCGGCTCGGGTAAGTAACCCTATTGGTCTCACCATGCCTCTGATGACTCTCCTGCATCATCGACATCTTAGAATCTATCAACGATTTCCCGGTATTTTGCAACTGATCGCTTCCTCTACGATAATCGTAGCTCGGGTAAATAACCCTACTGGCCTTTGTCACGTGATCAGCTCGAGTCCTTAATGTCACCTGATACAGAACAACGTGTACAAGAGCAGAACAAGGCTGATGACAAATATCTGGAAAACATTGGCTTCGCCATGCCTGTGGTGACTCTCCTGCATCATCAACATCGTAGAATCTATTGATGATTGTCTTTTTTTTTTTTGGTGAAATGTGAATCTATTTACATAAAAAAGAAGTTACATATCGGTTCTTGTTACCGAAAAAACAAAAGAAACTTACACTTCCATGAGCTAAGCTAACAAAAAGGAGGGATGATTTTCCTATAGTAATCATGGTGGCCTTGTTAGATAGAACCAAGCTTGTAAGAGGGTGTTTTCCTGCTGGTTGGGGCCTGATTGATGGGCCAGTATGATGTTCCTGATGAGTCTGTCAAGCCTATGTTTCATTACCTCAGCGGATTGGTGTCGGGAGCGAAAGATTCTGTCATTTCTTTCACGCCAAAGAAGGTAGACCGTAGCTTGAAGAGCAATTAGTGTCAAGGTTCGCTTGTGGCGATTGGGGTCATTCCGGAGGGCTTCGATCCAATCTGGATAGAGCTGGAGCTGGTGCGGTGGTTCTGACCCGAAGCGTGATGCGTAATATTGCCAGACGGATGAGCTGAACGGACATTCAAGGAATAAGTGTTGGTGGGACTCTTCCCCTGTCGAGCATAGGCAGCAAGACGTCTCCGTCTGCACTCCCCATCGATGTAGTCTGTCTCGGGTTGGCAGCCTACCCAAGAAAGCTTGCCATAGGATGAGTGCATGCTTCGGCGTTACGTGTCTGAACCATACAACCTTCCACCAATTTACAGTAGCTGCAGGCTGCCTAATTTGTCGCCAGGTTGCTGCCGTGTTAAAACAGTCTTTGAATGCATTGTCGTTGTGTTTCCAGAGGGGCTGATCGTCTACACCAGTCGCTGATGGTGCTTCAGTCATGAGTAGTGCTTCTTGTAAGTGCTGCTCTTGTTGGGATCTTGCAGGTGGAAGGTTCCAGCCGAGTTCGGTGGAGGCTGAGATCACTGGTGCGTGCAACGGGATTCGCATTCTTCGCGGTCCTTCGTCTCCAATATATTCGATCAGCGGTCCGAAACTACTCCAGTTGTCCAGCCAGAAAAATGTGTCTTTGCCATTGCCTATCTTCATATTGATGATTGTCTTGAATCTTTCATCTGATCGCTTTCTCTACTAATAACAGAGGAAGATGAGAGAGACTGTTTATAAAATATTTATTCCTTGTCATTTCACTGTGCCCTTGGAATCGTAGATATACACTTGTAAAAGAAGAATAAAAGAAATAATAAAATGAATTACAACCAATAAACCTATCGCAAGTACAGCGGGTTACGAGAATCAATACGGTTTCGGTTTCATCAAGTCGCATATGCCAAATGCATTACTACATGTATGTGAAGAAACGACATGAGTTAAGATTTCAAATGCTTTACTTCTTCATTTTTCGCTGGTTTTTCATTCTTGGTTGTACTTCTTGAAGCGGATTTGTTTTGGCTCGACTCTTTCGCACTCTTAACAATAAATCCTTCCCTTATCCGACACATAGACCCGAGGTAAAACTCGGTAACCGAACTCGTTAAACACAGTGTCAATATCTTTCTCTTTTTTTTTTTCTGTTAGTTCGATTCTGGTTAGTGTTCGGCAGTCGCAATACCAGGGCTGTCGAAGACGTTCTTCGATCTTGCACGCGATTAACCGGTCTCACCACTACAATATATATCGTGACTTTGGACCTCGTGGATTGATTAAGCAAGTCGCGGAGAAAAAATGTAATCAAGAGAACATCATAAAGAGTGGTCGAAACTAATATACAGTTTAATGACTTTGGTACGTCGCGGTTGCCGTGAGACTCAGGTGGGTGCCCTCTTTCTTTCTAAATATAAAGATTAATTGTCATGAATAGAAATAGAGTGAAGAAGATATATTTGTGTTTATCAACTTGATTCATATATAATAAATAACAGATTGGATACATGTGGGCGGAAGGTTATTCCTAGAATGAATACAATTATGCGGAATACAAGTGAAATAGTTGATTGATTAAAGGGCTTGGCATGCGGTCTTGAGGATAAGTTTGGTGTAGAAGTTGCCGGTGATAAGGCCTAAGCAATCGTCGGTGATATCGACGATGGTGATGCAGCAATCCTTCGTCAGCTTCCCGAGATTGAAGTGCACGATCGCGTCCGCGCATCCCGGAACCGATTTGAGAGCTTCCCAGCACTTATCCGGATTCGGCAGGATTGCTTCCTCCGACAGCGGAGATGGGGCTGACGCCGCTTTCTTGCTCTCTAGTTCGTTGGTCGCCGTCACGCACGCAGACAACATCAGTAGGGCTGCCACGAGCGCGGCCATGAGGACCATCCTTTTCTGTTGCTCCATCTCTGAATTTTTTTTTTTAATCTAATATTTTGTAGTTGCGTGTGTCTTTTTGTGTGGGCATGCACATGTCCATGTTCCAATTTATAGCTGTCTGGGAATTGATGCTCGTGCTCCCTTTTTAATAAGAAATCATACGTCAAAACATTCCGTATTTGTGTTTATATTTTTACCTTTTTAGATAATATTACTCTTATACGTTGGTTCTATATTCCAGGGGATGTGTATCAATCCCTAACTTTTAGTAAACAAAAGTGATAATAAGAAGTGAGCTTTATTTTTGGTGTCTCAATATTTTTTAAAGGTAAAAAAAATTTGAGACAAAAATGTCAAAATTTTAGAAAATATAGAAGGATAAAAAAACTTTGCAAAATTAAAATTATTTAGCAAAATGAACAAAATACGTAGATGAAAAAAAATTAACAGTTTTTAGATTCCTATAATATATATATATATATATATATATATATCTATATATGTTTTTCCAGAAAAAAGTATCAATGAGTAATATGATAACTTTCAGGGGTGTATCAATGTTTTTATTAAAGGTAACAAATCCTGAGATTGAAAAAAAGGTTAAATTTTTTTTAAAAAAACAAACAAACCTGTATACTAATGGCAATGCTTCACTACTGTAAATGCAAATTTGAAATAAGAGTATATATAATTCTCAAAACTATAAAAAAAACAAATAATCACATATATTTTGGCGTTTGTGGGGAAAACCCCACCTATTTTAGAGAAGTGTGGAAAAATAAATCTCATTTTTTTATAGTATTGAGAATTAATTTCATATATGTTTGTCTAATGAAAATGAGATATTTTTTATCTGAAAAAAATTAAGAATAATAATAAAAAATAATTTATCATTTAATCAATGAAGAAATTTTAGAGTCTTACAAATCATTTTATTTTATAATTTGTATTTGTTATATTAGAGAGAGAGAAAGAGATAATAAAGATTGAAAAAGAAAAAAGATAACCGTAACAATTTACCAAATAAAATTTCGCAACTGTCATACCAAATACAATTTAGCTAGGGAGATGTATCAATGTTTTTAGGAAGATGTATCAATGTTTTTATTAAAGGTAATAAATTGTGGGATTGAAAAAAATGTAAAATTTTAAAAATAAATAAATAAAACAAACCTGTATAATAGGGTTTAAAGAATTGTAGTCCGCTTCATCATCATTTGACATTTATTTTAATTTTTTTGTCATTTAAAAACTCAAAATATTAAAGATGATTTTATTGAATTTTTATAGGGAAAATTTCACAAAAATATATGAATTTGACCAAATGGATCAAATAAATACATAAAATTTTAATTTGACAGATTAAATCATGAACATTCTGAATTAACGATGGACCATAACGACGTGAATATTCTGTTTGAGTCATATCACGTGGAAAAAAAGTAATAGCCACGTCGACGTCATGTCCATTAACATTCAACAATGATACATCATATTATTTGCCACATCATTCGGATTCGTGTAACAAATCGAAATCGAAACGGTATAATATTAAACCGGATAAAATAATAAACTAAATCCAAATATTAAAATTCTTTAAATCTAAAGAGAAGGGTTATCGAAAGATTGGGCAAATGGCTTATTTTATAAAATACCATTAATAAAAACACCATTAACACAGTTTTAAATCATATATACAATAATATATTAGATATATATATATATAATGAGATTATCTAATAAATTTTAACCTAGATATTTATAAAAATATAATCATAAATTTGAATAAAAAGTTTTTAAAATGGAACAAAGAAATAAGTGGTCAAAAACTTGACATTTTTCATACAATAATTGCTATTTTTAATAAAAAAAAATAAATGATTTTATTATTATTTGTAATCAAATCCAAAATTAGATTGAATCATCCAAATCGAAATATATATATATATATATATATATATATATTTCAAATTAATGGTGTTTTCTAGGCTTCCATATTCTGAGAAAAATAAAAATTTCATACTTATTGTTTAAACTGGTTCATATACAGAATATATTGAAACCACACCAAAAAGATAAAAATTGGTAAACTAAAAGTAATTATTATAAAGACTGCTTAGAAATAGGTCCAATATAACTAAATAGAAACAGTTTGAAATGATTCAACCATTAAAAATTTTCTTTTAAAAATGTAATAAAAATAAAAAAATTAGAGATAAAATTGTATGCCATACATAAATTTGGATATCTATATTGCTTTAACATAGCATTATGTACTTTATTTTTTTAAAAAAAAAGAACTTATTGAATCCATTCATACAATGAAAAAATAGCCATATAAATAAAGATATAAAGATATAGAGAGAATTTGTTTTTAAAAAATAAATTACTTGGTAAAAAAAATGTCAAAATCACTATTTTGTCGTAAACGATAAACTGTCAAAAATTACATCTAACATAGATATAGATATTTCATCACAAATATAGTATCATTGGATATGTAACATTATAATGTCTGCTTAAGTGATATAGTCGCATACACGCTTCTCTTAATTACAGCATAACATGATTTTAAGTTTTGTACTTCCAATTTCAAATTAATCTTTGGTGATAACATGCAATCTAAAACAAATTAATTTATTTAATTTAAATGTTATTTAATTTAAATATTATTTAATTTAAAAAGTCTTTTCAAAACATCAAATCATATATATATATATATATATATTCAAGTAAGGTTGCTAATATATATTACCTTTCACCAACCTCTCTTGGCTAAGTGATTGAACAGTGATTGAACACTTTGTATGCTCTGACTAACCTTTAAAAGACGACATTCGGCATCATCTGCCGCAAGATTGTATTAATTACAGTAACATTTTAATAAGAAGTTTTGTAAAAAAAAACTGTTATGACGGCATGCATACATACATGTATACATAAACACATACATATATATTTTAAAAATAAAATAAAACGATATACACATATATGTATACATATAATATATGTATATAATATTATTAATAATACAATCATTATTAATTGTTAAATAAATGAGATATAGAATTGACTGAATTCAATATTGTACTTATCATTTGTTTTAATAATGATAATAAAATTTGTATGTTTATCATAGAAATATGGGTAAATAATATTATTTCCAAGCGAATTTGTGTAATCCTGTTAAATTATTACACACATATATATATATACATGCATATTTATACATATAAATACATATACGTATATACACATACATATAGTATAGACAAATAAAATATATATATGTATATATATACATACATATATGTAACAAATACATACTTTGACCTTACAATTATTAATTAATATAAAAATAAATAGATACAAAAACAAACAAATAAAATCATATACATATATGTATATTAATAAATATATCTCATCCGTTTATTATTTTTTTTATATTTTTTATATAAATAAAAAACATTTATGATGATATGGTTTATTATCATAAACAAATAAATAAATGAGATGTAGAATTCACTTAATTAAATAGTGTACTTATCATTTATTTTAATAATAACAATAATGAAATTTGTATATTTATCATACAAACGAAATAAAAACGAAATCCTGTAAATATGTTAAATTGTAAATGGTTATACGAATTGTTAAACATTTGGGTCCAACCCACTTGGGTTAGTTGAATTATGAAATTTGTTAAATTGTAAATTTGTATATTTATACATACACACAAAACTTATAGAATACATACATGCATCATTTACGCATATACACGTACATACAAAAGTAAAAAATAAAAAATGTATTGAGATATATGCATTTTTGTAACGTCCACGTACATACACGAATACATTCATATACAGGGAACATTATACACACAAATACATCTATATATACACATATACACATTCATATAACTTGTAATTTTTATTCTTCGTTAATATTAAAAAAATCAAAATTTATAATTCACTATTTTCGGAAATACAAAACCAATTCAATAATAATCTACCCAAAAGCTGGGTTTTCTTGCAAACAACAGAATTTAAAAAAAAAAATGTCAAAGAACTCAGCTGCCATATATATTTCATTGTTATGGTTCGACTCCAAGGTCTTCAGATTCTGAATAATCCAGTCGAAAACCTTCTTATGCAATCGGAATGATTTTTCCACTGCAATTTAATTCCTATCCATTGGACCAACTCACTCAACCTCGCTAACAAACATTTGAAAACGGGGGGAACAAAATGACAAACCTGTGGAAAACCTCCAAAAAAAGTATGACGTGCATGTTACAAAAAGCACATATTAAGAATATATGATAGATAAAACAAATATACAATATTTTGAAATTAAATATGGTTATTAATGTGATGACGACCGTTCCCTTCTCTTTTGTAATAAAAACGACACTAATGATTTATGAACGGTTACAAAATATTATAAGGACTTAGTAAAGAAAAAATACGTTATAAATTTTGTATAATGAAGAGGCGTATTGTTTACATGGACGTTAGTTGAAGAAATTAACCAATGAGGATAAAGGATTTTGCCACATGAATGATGATGTAGATGCCACATGTCCTCACCACAATCCTTGAACCAAACTTTTTATATATATAGATTTTATAAAATAAGCCATTTGCCCAATTTTTCGATAACCCTTCTCTTCAGATTTAAAGAATTTTAACATTTGGATTTAGTTTATTATTTTATCCAGTTTAATATTATACTGTTTCGATTTCGATTTGTTACACGAATCCGAATGATGTGGCAAATAATATGATGTGTCATTGTTGAATGTTAATGGACATGACGTCGACGTAGCTATTACTTTTTTTCCACGTGGTATGACTCAAACAGAACATTCACGTCGTTATGGTCCATCGTTAATTCAGAAAGAATTAATGAATTCATAATTTAATCTGTCAAATTAAAATTTTATGTATTTATTTGATCATTTGATCAACTTCATATATTTTTGTGAAATTTTCCCTATAAAAATTTAATAAAATCATCTTTAATATTTTGAGTTTTTAAATGATAAAAAAATTAAAATAAATGCCAGAGGATGAAGCGGACTACAATTCTTTAAAGGTTTGTTTTATTTATTTATTTTTAAAATTTTATATTTTTTTCAATCCCATAATTTATTACCTTTAATAAAAACATTGATACATCTTCCTAAAAACATTGATACATCTCCCTGAATGTTGTCATATTGATACATTTTCTGTAAGAGCATATATATATATATTCTATTCTAGGACAGCTAATGTAACGCCTCGAGTCCACTACGGAATGATAGAGCTGTCCCCACACACCAACACGGGACCTTTTTATCGTGTTTTGTCCTCACTCGCACACATCCCGGAAAGTACTTCCCAGGAGGTCACCCATCCTAAGACTACTTCAAGGTCAGCACGCTTAACTCTGGAGTTCTCTCGAGATGGACAACAAAAAAGGTAGATGTATCTTGTTGGTATGAGTAGCTTAATTAATTCCTTTAAGTTACCTAAGACTTTGTAGTCCCATACCTACACAACCATCGGATCCCTCTCATTCGGATGCGTCCGCTTCATCCCTGTACCTTCTACCCAGAAGCTCGTCAAGAGCCGCCCATTGTCCATACCTCTCGCACCGGCGATCACTTCCCGCCCTCCTACGGTATCATGGGCTGTCACAGGCCCACCAGTTTCTGCCTGGTTCATCCACGAACCACACCGTACTGGGAGAGAACCGGTTCTGATACCATTTGTAACGCCCCGAGGCCGCTACGGAATGATAGAGCTGTCCCCACACACCAACACGGGACCTTTTAGCGTGTTTTGTCCTCACTCGCACACATCCCGAAAAGTACTTCCCAGGAGGTCACCCATCCTAAGACTACTCCAAGGTCAGCACGCTTAACTTTGGAGTTCTCTCGAGATGGACAACCGAAAATGTAGATGCATCTTGTTGGTATGAGTAGCTTAATTAATTCCTTTAAGTTACCTTAGACTGTGTAGTCCCATATCTATACAGCCATGAAATCCTTCTCATTCGGATGCATCCGCTTCATCCCTGTATCCCCTATCCAGAAGCTCGTCAGGAGCCGTCCATTGTCCATGCCTCTTGCACCGACGATCACTCCCCGCCCTCCTACGGTATCCTGGGCTGTCACAGCTAAATTTTATTTGGTATGACAGTTGCGAAATTTTATTTGGTAAATTGTTACGGTTATCTTTTTTTTCTTTTTCAATCTTTATTCTCTCTCTCTCTCTCTCGCTAATATAACAAATATAAATTATAAAATAAAATGATTTGTAAGACTATCTAAAATTTCTTCATTGATAAATTATTTTTTATTATTATTCTTAATTTTTTTCAGATAAACAATATCTCATTTTCATTAGACAAACATATATGAAATTAATTCTCAATACTATAAAAAAAAATAAATGAGATTTATTTTTCCACACTTCTCTAAAATAGGTGGGGTTTTCCCCCCAAAGGCCAAAATCTATGTGATTATTTGTTTTTTTTTTATAGTTTTGAGAATTATATATACTTATTTCAAATTTGCATTTACAGTAGTGAATCATTGCCACTAGTATACAGGTTTGTTTGTTTTTTAAAAAAAATTTTAACCTTTTTTTCAATCTCAGGATTTGTTACCTTTAATAAAAACATCGATACATCGCACGAACGTTATCATATTACTCATTGATACTTTTTTCTGGAAAAGCATATATAGATATATATATATATATATATATATATATATTCTAAGAATCTAAAAACTGTTAATTTTTTTCATCTACGTATTTTGTTCATTTTGCTAAATAATTTTAATTTTGCAAAGTTTTTTTTGTCCTTCTATATTTTCTAAAATTTTGACATTTTTATCTCAAATTTTTTTTTACCTTAAAAAAATATTGAGACACCAAAAAAAATAAAGCTCACTTCTTATTATCACTTTTGTTTACTAAAAGTTAGGGATTGATACACATCCCCTGGAATATAGAACCAACGTATAAGAGTAATATTATCTAAAAAGGTAAAAATATAAACACAAATACGGAATGTTTTGACGTATGATTTCTTATTAAAAAGGGAGCACGAGCATCAATTCCCAGACAGCTATAAATTGGAACATGGACGTGTGCATACCTACACAAAAAGACACACGCAACTACAAAATATTAGATTAAAAAAAAAAGAATTCAGAGATGGAGCAACAAAAAAGGATGGTCCTCATGGCCGCGCTCGTGGCAGCCCTACTGATGTTGTCCGCGTGCGTGACGGCGACCAACGAACTGGAGAGCAAGAAAGCGGCGTCAGCCCCATCTCCGCTGTCAGAGGAAGCAATCCTGCCGAATCCGGATAAGTGCTGGGAAGCTCTCAAATCGGTTCCGGGATGCGCGGACGCGATCGTGCACTTCAATCTCGGGAAGCTGACGAAGGATTGCTGCATCACCATCGTCGATATCACCGACGATTGCTTAGGCCTTATCACCGGCAACTTCTACACCAAACTTATCCTCAAAACCGCCTGCCAAGCCCTTTAATCAATCAACTATTTCACTTGTATTCCGCATAATTGTATTCACTTGTATTCCGCATAATATATTGGATAAATGTGGGCGGAAGGTTTTTTTTTGTTTTAATGTAAATAGATTCACATTAAAACGAAAAAAAAAACCTTCCGCACACATTTATCCAATCTATTATTTATTATATATGAATCAGTGCAAACGAAAGCAATAATGAATTTTGATTGTGGTCTATACCCCTGGAATTCGAATCACTAAGCAATATCATATGTTTATTGTGAAAATATTGCTTCATTGTGGTATCATAGGATACAAGATCTACCACTATATAGGGTTACCCGATATGAGACAAATTAAACTGATTTGTCGTACTATATTTTGACTGTAAATACAAAAGTTTGCTTGGAGACATGCGTTGTGGAATTTGTGAATGTAAAATTGTTGTTATGATGATTAAACCATCCGATATAGCAATGAAATGGAAAATTTATTTATTTGACAAAAATATGAAAGTTATTCAATGTTTGGCAATTTTTTAAAAAAAATACATAAAAACGGTTTATCCATTTGATATTTTTTTTATAAGAGATTCAGATTCATCCACTCACAATGAAAAGTTAAAAACTTACAACAAAAACACATGAAAACAAGAATCACAAGAAATCCAAAGATCATCAAAGAGAAACTCAACGTGTTGAGTTTTATTGAAAACGAGATGCCAAACTGCTTGGAAGAAGGAACAGTGAGATCAGACCAAATTGACCATGCTCCTCCCCATGTCTCTGATCATTTGTGCCCTCTGAAACGCCATATGTGTCTGTAACTGCATCATTTGCATATGTCTATGAGCATCCAACATCGACGACAACTGTCGAATCGGTCTTTTCTTTGATCCCGCCATTATCACCACCTTCTTCTTCTTCATCTTCTTCTTTTGTCTCTTCATAAGCCGTACACGAGTGTACGTGCGTGCCATAGTCGCATTCCTTACAGTAATTCACCCAGAAATTCTCCGGCACGGTTTCTCGACACACGTCGCAAACAAAGTCTCCTACGTTGTCCTTGTAAGGCGAACAATAGAGGAGAGTGAGAGGGTGTTCATGTTCATCGCGCTCCATGGATTCAGGCAACGAGACACAACCGACATGAACATCGAACTGACACTCGGAGCAGCTGTAAGTGAACCCAGTTCCGTACTCTCCACATGCATCACACGTGTAGATGGACTGTGAATGGGGTGGGGCATGAATCAGTGTCAGAGGGTGGTCAAGGTGAGATTTGTGATGGATCTGACGCGGAAGCTCGAAACATGACTTGTGCAGGAAGTAATCACATTCCGACTTGGTGCATTTGAAAGCTGCCCCGACCAGCTCGAGCTCGCAACCCGAGCAGACGACCTCGTGTTCGTCTTTGGCTTTGAACAGACGCAACGGATGGGTATGGCCCGGATGCCTCACGCAAGGGCGAGAAGCTGGTCTGGCAACGGATGTTCTCGTAGCCATGGTAGAGATTCTTATACTGTGGTTTTTTTTGTGTTTCTTGTTAAGATGTGAAGAACTTGTTTACGGGCTTGGAGCTATTTATACGGATTTTTATGGAAGACTTTGGATCGGATAATGTGTGGAAATTGCAAAGTTTTTGAATTTGATTAAGCAAGTTGCAGTGTAATTAATGGAGAAATAACGATGTGCGGAAACCGATGGCTTCTTTGACTTTAATTCGGTCCCATTTCCCCATCTAGTTTCGCAAGGTTTTTATTTTATTTGCGAGTACATAACCCTATTGGCCTCGCCATGCCTCCAATGACTCTCCTGAATCATCGACATTATTGTAGAATCAATCAACGATTTTACGGTATTTTGCAACTGATCGGTTTCTCTATGATAGTAGTAGTAGTTCGGGTGAATAACCCTATTGGCCTCGCCATACCTCTAATGACTCTTCCGCATCATCGACATGGTAGAATCCATCAACGATATTTGTTTTGTATCTTTCATCTGACCGCTTTCTCTACCAATATGGTAGCTCGAGTAAAAAAACGCTTTGGGCATCTGCGTTTTCTCTATCCATACCGAAAACCCTTTTTCTTTCCTCTTTTTGGGGATCACTATAATGTGTGTTAGAAGATTTTGAGGGTTTTCCGAGTGAAGATTAAAGGTGAAGAATTTCAATCTATTTATACAAAAAATAATGTCATCCGACGATGTGAGAATCAATACGATTTCGGTTTGATGAAGTCGCATATGCCAAATGCATTACTATATGTATGTGTAGAAACGATATGATTTAAGTTTTCAAAGTCTTCTTCTCGATGACTTTGATCATATATGATGTTTTCAAGTGTCATTATATGAGCAGTGAATTGAGCGGTGGAGCTAATCCAAGGGAGTTTGAAGAGGTATAATATATAAAAAATATCCTTACTTTGCTATTTTTACATCAACACATACCTTTCTCCACATGTGGTCATGTGATCCAAAATATAGTATAGTTAGATTTTGATTTTATTGATTATAACGATAAATTTATGGTGATCACACTAATTCATTATGATTATACCTTGTACATCTTACTAATCATTTGATTAAAACATCATAAATTTAACGTTATAAATAATGAGTTTAACATGTGACTACACTATATTTCGGATCAAATAGATCATATGATCACAACTGAATAAAGGTATATGTTGAAGTCAAAATAGCAAAATAAGGATATATTTGATAATGGTCCGTTTGAAGAGGAGTCGACCTTTTAAAGTCACCACAAGGTTTTGGGGGAAAGAAATGACGTCATGCTAAGTTGAAGGTGGATTACTAAAGGGTAATATTGTCTTTCTACAGGAGATCAAATCAGGGCTTCTCATGTAAGCTCAATTATCAGATTAGGGCTCGTTACTTCTTCATTTTTCGTTGAGTTTTCATTCTTGGTTGTAGTTCTTGAATCGGATTTGCTTCGGTTTATCAACTTGATTCATATATAATAAATAATAGATTGGATAAATGTGGGCAGAAGGTTATGTTACAAAATACTCTTTCGAAAAAAAAACAATATCCAAAATATTAATGGATATTCATAGAATGGAATGATTTAAAAAAGAAAAATAATGAACCAAAATATGTACATAGTTTGTGGGAGGAAAAGAAAAACAAAAATTTAATTTAGAGAAAGAGAATTATTATTGCGAGATAGAAGACATCATAAAACAAATGCAAAGGATAATTTTATTCATTCCATGAGGTGCCTTTTACACACGTTAAACCTAAACTTTCCAAACCGATAAATCTGCATCACATATATCACTTAGCACAATTGATGTGATTTGCTCCTAATGAATAGGTCACCCCCTTGACCAAGTGCATAATACGCAAAATACAAAATATGAAATAAAACGGATTTATTTTGATCCCCGACAAGATTATATTCCCAACCTTCCGATCCGCCTCACAATAACATCGGTTTGTCTTCGACTTCTTCCGTGAGATGGATTTCTTCATTGTTTTGTTCGTTTTTCGATCTAGGATACTCAGAAGCATAATGTCCATACTTTCGACAAGTAAAACATTGTATATATCATTTATCACGTTCGCCTCGTCCGCATCCGCGACCTCTTCCATGCCTCTGTCGAGTTTGCCACTCTGCATAAGTGAGCAAAAGTTGTCCATCGGAATTATCACCCACATTGCGCAGCCGAATTCAGTCCTCATATACTTTTATTCTCCTGATCGCTTCCTCGAACGACATTTTATCAATATCTGAATATTGTTCAATAGATGCAACTAATTGGAAAAACTTATCTGGCACCGAATCAAGAAGTTTCCTAACGAGTGCGCCATCCTCGAGAGTAACACCAAGATCGCTGTATTTGGTGATCATACTGCTCAATTTCCCGGCGAATTCATCAATCGTCCCACCTTCATTTATACGCAAAGCATCAAATTCACTTTTTAAGGTTCGCAAACGTGCCTTCTGCACACGATCAACCCCCACGTACTGGATCTTCAGGGATTCCCAAATCTCACTAGCGGATTTCTTCTTTGATATCTGCATAAGAACATCTTCCGGTACCGTTTGAAAGATGAACGCTCGAGCTAGCTTATTCTTTTTCTCGTCTACAACCACTCCGGTCGCATGTTCAACTGCGTCCCAGATCCCCTGGGCATCCATGATCGCATCCATCTTGATCGCCCATGTCGTATAATTGAACGACGTCAACATAGGGTATTGCAACGACACTCCGTCATTTTCCTTTACTCCTTGCGTGATGAGTGACATAGATACTCACACAAGTATTCCTAACTAGACACAGGTCCTCCCGACCGGATATGGGTCCTCCCGACCAAGCACAGGTCCTACCGGCAGGGCTTTGAACCAAAATATGTACATAGTTTCTGGGAGAAAAAGAAAATAAAAATTTAATTTAGAGAGAGAATAAAGCAGATGCAAAGGATAATTTTATTCATTCCATGAGGTTCCTTTTACACATGTCAAACCTAAACTTTCCAAACTGATAAATCTGCATCACGTGCATCACTTAGCACGATTGATATGATTTGCTCATAATGAATAGGTCACCCCTTGACCAAGTGCATAATACGCAAAATACAAAATATGAAATAAAAACGGATTTATTTTGATCCCCAACAAGATTATATTCCCAACAGGTTATTCCTAAAATTAATACAATTATGCGGAACACAAGTGAAATAGTTGATTGATTAAAGGATTTTGCAGGCAGCCTTGAGGATAAGTTTGGTGAAGAAGCTGCCGGTGATAACGCCTAAGCAATCATCGGCGATACCGACGATGGCGTTGCAGCACTCCTTCGACAGTTGCCGGAGTTTCAAGTGCATGATCGCTTCCGCGCATCCCGGAACCGATTTGAGATCTTCCCAGCACTTCGCCGGATCCGGCAAGATTGATTCCTCCGACAGCGGAGATGGGGCTGACGCCGCTTTCTTGCTCTCTAGTTCGTTGGTCGCCGTCACGAATGCGGACAACATCAGTAGGGCTGCCACGAGCGCGGCCATGAGGACCATCCTTTTCTGTTGCTCCATCTCTGAATTCTTTTTTTAATCTAATATTGTTGTGTGTTTCTTTTGTGAGTTTTGGAGATTTGTGTGAGCATGCACACGTCCATGTTCCAATTTATAGCTGCCTTGGAATTTATGGTCGTACTCCCTTTTGAATAAGAAATCCATGCAGTGTGGTTTACCTTTTAAGATAATATTCCAGGGGACGTGTATCAATCGGTAACCTTTTACAAAAGTGGTAATAAGAAGTGAGCTTTATTTTTTGTGTCTCAATATCTTTTTAAGGTAAAAAAAAATGTGAGACAAAAATGTCAAAATTTGAAACATAGAAGGAAAAAAACTTTGCAAAATAAAAAATATTTAGCAAAATGAACAAAATATGTAGATGAAAAAATAGAATATATATATGCTCTTCCAGAAAAAGTATCAATGAGTAATCTGACAACATTCAGGGGGATGTATCAATGTTTTTATTAAAGGTAACAAATTGTGAGATTGAAAAAGGTAATATTTTTTTTATAGAAAAACAAACCTGTATACTAGAGGCAATGCTTTACTACTGTAAATGCAAAATTGAAATAAGAGTATATATATATATATAATTCTGAAAACTATAAAAAAAACAAATAATCACATATATTTTGGCCTTTCGGGGGAAAACCCAAGCTATTTTAGAGAAGCGTATTTTGTTATATTATTGAGAATTAATTCATATATGTTTGTCTAATGAAAATGAGATATTGTTTATCAGAAAAAATTAAGAATAATAATAAAAATAAATTATCATTTAATCAATGAAGAAATTTTAGATAGTCTTACAAATCATTTTATTTTACAATTTGTATTTGTTATAGTAAAGAGGAATAGAGAGAGAAATACATGATAAAGATGAAAAAGAAAAAAGATAACCCAAAGAATTTACCAAATAAAATTGTGAGATTGAAATAAAAGGTAAAAAATTTAAAAAATAAATAAATAAAACAAACTTGCATAATAGGGTTTAAAGGATTCGAGTCCTCCTCTTCATCATCTGGCATTTATTTTAATTTTTTTGTCATTTAAAAACTCGAATAATGAAAGATGATTTTATTGAAATGTTTTAGAAAAAATCCCACAAAAATATATGAATTTGACCAAATGTGACACATAAATACATGAATTTTTAATTTGACAGATTAAATCATGAATTCGCTAATTCCTTCTTAAAATGAAATAAAGAAATAAGTGGTCATAAACTTGATCATTTTTTCATACAATAATTGCTATTTTTAATAAAAATAAATAATTTTTTTTATTTGTAATAAAATCCAAAATTAGATTGAATCATTCAAATCGAAAAATATATGTATATATATGTCTATGTATATGAATATATATATATATATATATAATATATAATTTCAGATGTCTATAAAGAAATCATGTATATATATATATATATATATATTCCTAAATCCTAATCTTTCTCCGCCGAAAATGTTGGCTATATATAAAATTATGAGTGTATGATACTATTCCTCATAAAGTGAAAATAAAATTAAATTACGAAAACGATGTAATGATTCAAGCCGTTCTTCTGTTTATATGTAAGGAAAAAAAAAAATACAAACCATAGAATAATGAGTTTCAGAAGGAGAAAAAATATATTCTACGTATAGTTGGACCGTCACCGTCCTCTTTTAACCCATTTTATCATCCTATAAAATTTAATAAAATTTCCCCAATAATCAAATGAAGTTATATATATATATATAAACTGCAAATAGCGCATGTATATAGATTCTGTCTACACGTGAAACGCGTCGAACAACAAATTAATACTATCACAGTTTATGATTAGGGTTTTTCTTATGATACATGTCCTTGTTAATTAATAGTAAACCCAAAAAATCACCGGGATATGCATTCACATAGGTTTCTTCACCGATCTTTTAGGTTTCCACGAATTTTATATAATGACTCATATCTAATTATATTATATATTTGATGTGTGTGTATATATATACACGTATTGCAATTAATGGTCGAATATGAGATCACCTGAAAACTGTACCTAGAAATTATGACACGTGTTATGTGGTTCTTAACATGTCCACGTAGGTGTTAGTCCATTTCTTCACGACGCCACCCACTACCGAAGAATTTATATTATATATAATAATAAATAAACTATACATAAATGACAAATAACTGTAGAGTTTATTATTTGGGACTACGGATACAGTATTTATGGATCCGATTTTGACCCGTCTTCCATATATATATATATATGTAAGAGGATTGATACATTATAAACAAATTTAAATAAAATAATAATAAATCTGTATTTACATTAAGTTTGACTATCATTTTCAAAATACTATTAAATCGAACTTAATTTAAATATAATTATATATTATTTGAACAAGACTTGGTAGATATGAACAGTAAATAATCTGTAGTGAAAATTAAATTAAGTTTACCCACGCGCTCTCGCTCCATATGAAAGATTGATTAGCCGACAAGTGCATTGCGGAGACATAATCATCTATATAAATCCAAATTTGGACCGAATACTTATGGTTGGATAAGACAAGAATGTAAAAATTTTTAAAAAAAATAAAGAAAATAAAAATGCTTACAGATGGAAAGATGGGCATTGAAAATTGGAAAATGAGAACACATGGTCCGTCTCCAGGATTAAATTGCGTCCACCTGTAGATACGATACGATGGTCCAACCGTGTCAGCCTTCTTATTGAACCTTGACAGGGACATTATTGCAACACCATGCAGTTCGAATCTCTTCTAACGAAACGGGACGCAGTCTGTTCTGACGCCAGGAGTTGGGGTATTTTCGTAATGTTTTAACTCCACTGTACTGTAGTACTAATGCTTGCGTTGGTGTATGTATATATTTTGCATGCATGATTTTATTATCAATACACACATACATACACACACATATATATATATAAGCTGTAATAGTGTAATCGTATATGTAACACATGATAATTGTTTAACAAAAAAAAACACATTCCATAAAAAAAACACATGATAATTGATCGATGGGCCAACGAGGTGCATAAAGAACAATGAATTACATTTTAACCAAAAAAAAAAAAAAACAAAAACGAATTAAAGCCATAAATATAATCAACAATTTCTGAGAGTGAAAGCAAAATCAACGGTCCATATTTGCATGCGTACCAACAATTGATGGTGAGATGACAGCAGATGTTGGCAAATGGATTTCTAAAAAACTATATGATGAAAAAAGGGACTTTTGAATAATTATTCGTCCGACAAATGAAAGAAACTAAAACAGAATATTTTTTTTTCAAATGAACAATGAGAGTTGGAGATTGCAACAAAAGCAAGGATTTTGTGATTTAACGTTATTGGGTCACTGAGGCATTTCAACATCTTGTAGTGTCATCTTTAGACAAAAATAAAATAAAAAAATATGATAACGATAAAAGATTTAAATAAAAATAAATTGAGATATATATGAAACTTTATACAAAAATTAAAGTAAAAGAAACCTCATAATTAACTAACTTTTATGGACAGAGATAAATTTGTGAGGTATATATATGTTTGAATCGGACAACAAGAACATTCATCGAATGAAAATTATTTTGGTTTGGATTAATAAAACTAGGTGAATAAAATTTTAATACTTTTTATAATTTTTTTACATATTATAAGAGTTAGAGATAAATTTTATAATTTAGAAATGAATTAAAATAACTTTATTTGAATTGAAATCTACAATGACTTCAATGGTAAAAAATGGAAAATAACATATTTTTGAAAATAATTATTTTATAAAAGAATATAAATTTGAATTAGAACAGAATAGGAAAAATGTAATATAAATAAATTTCTAAAAATAAAAAATAATTAAATTAAAACATGTTTATAATTATTAATAATTCGGTAAAAAAGAACATGGTAATAAAAAAAACTTTTGCGCCGTAAAAAACTAGTAATAATTAGGTTAAAGAAAAAGGAGGTGATAATAGGTATGATGTTTGAACTTTTAAGCCGACAAGAAGTATCTTTTTACAAAATTTTCCACACACGTAGACGCTGCGTACGCATATACACGTATATTATAATATGCATGCATGCACACATGTGCATGGTGCATCCACGCGTCTTCTCCCTTATATTTTGACAGACGTCTCAATTTCCCTTTGACATATTTTCCCCATCATTTTCCACTGCATTAAGAGACAGAGAGAGAGAGAATAATTTACCCATATTTTTTTCCTGTGAAATTACTCTTTTTGTTCTTGGTGTTCTTTGTTTTGCCTTTCCTTTTCTGGGTTTTCTTCCTCTCTTGGAATTGCCACTTCGACCAAGTTGAACAGGTAAATCTATCGATGCTACGTTAAATGTCATACATAAACGCATACACTCACACATATATACATATATGTATATACATGTACGTACACCTCTATTCATCTCTCTCCCTTCGTCTGTTATATGTCCATTTCGATCTGATTGGATCTTACAACGATGTCCTAGTTGGTTACCGATCTTATTCAATCGCATCACATCCAAGAGGTTTGTTTGGAACAGTACGTAGCAAACGCAACCGCGGCTTATTGGTCGGAGGAAAATGTCTAGCGTCTACGTCCAATCGCGTTTGCACTTCTGACGACAATATATACAAACCCTTCAATCTTTTACAGGCAGCGATCAATTGAATCCCTTTTGTTCCCAAAACAAAAGAAGAATGAGCAACGGAGAAATGGAAGAGAGGTTGCTTCGAGAGGGATCGGAGAACGATGAGAGCCTCTACATGAAGAAGAAGGTGTGGAGTGAGTTGAGGAAGATGTGGAGAATCGCGTTGCCGTCGACAATGTTCAGAGTGACGTCATTCGGGAGCATAGTGGTGGCTCAGTCATTCATCGGTCACACCAGCGACGTCGGCCTCGCCGCCTATGCCCTCCTCCAAAGCACCTTCATTCGCTTCCTCTACGGTTTACTTGTAAGTCCACGTCACCCTATATATATATATATATATGTATGTATAATGACTTCAATTTTGTCTTTATATGTCCGATAGAGCTTCGTGAAATTGACTCATGGCCAACTAAATCCGCCCCCATTCATTTAATTAAAATTTCTATCTTCCTTTATACAATTTATGATATTTTAATTTAAATTATTATTTTCTCCATGGTAAAA